GAATACCTTAACACGTCTTCGGAAACCCCTGTTTTTAGCACAATTCACGCTGTTTCTTTGCAACAGCATGAAGTATGGGAAACACAGCCTGATGTTTTGATTCGAACCATTAGTTCCTGAGATTAGTGCGTTCAAACAAACTCTTCAGCTTTATATATTAGTATAGATACTTGTAAACCTGTTTCTCCCAAATGGCGCAAATGGCGGACACATTTCTTAGTATGCATTTACGTATGAATAAAATCAACTAATGCAACGGGCATTAGTTAATTGATAAGTCTTTTGCGTGCCAGACACTATGATTTTTGGGATTCACGCAAAACTAGGCGATGATTTAAATCATTGAACAATAAAACCACTATACATATCTATTTAATTTTCCCCGTTTTTTTTCACATTAACCGTTGTTTCTTCGCTCCTATTATACACATCGCAATGTGTTATAGCCCTCCTCGATAAATGCTCTAACATAAAAATATTTTTTTAAATCGAATAAGTAGTTACTGAGATTAGCGCATTCAAACAAACAAAGTCCTCTTCACCTTTATTTTATTAGTATAGATTGGTATATGTCAATATATTTAGTTCTTTGTACGATTTCAATAATAAGATGTATATATGTGAAAAAGATGTATAGAATGAACAGATGAATGAAATCTCTTCGACGAATAAAAATAAATTGAATTTATTTTCGTATACCAGAAATACAAAAAGCATTGTCACTCTGCAATAATAAGAGTATTTGCACGGCGTGTTGAGATTGTGCTCTATATAAAAAGGAGGGAAGGAAATAAATTTTGTATTATATCGTTCGCTGCGCAGGGATTGGTTTTATTTGGTATTAAACATTTTACGCGCACGATCTACAGCTTGTATAGAAACATACGAATTCTAGTTCTAGTTAATTTTGTGCAGTAAGGAATTTATTATAGGATTCTAATAAATGTATTAATCATTCGGTATATAGGTGTACCTGTCCTGTGGTTATTTTGCTTGGCTGTTCCTAGTTGCTGTTATGGTAAGCAAAGGCTAGGTACAAGATGATGTTATTAGAAAATTAATATAAATTATAATAGATATAATAGATGTTCAATCTTATAACATATTCTACGAGATGGGCAAGACTTGAACCGGCATCCACAGCGTTCCGTGTTGTTCTAACCAATTGCGCTATCGTCATAGCTTTAATCCCAACCAGGCCCAAATGTTTCTAGTTAATTTATATTCTTTCTAAAATATCTTGGACTATGGAAATTTGATATCGATGTCAAATGGGTGGTAAGAATGTCGAGATTCCGTCCGGGTCAGGAAACACCGCCGTGAATGAAAAAGCCGTGAAGATTAATCGCGTTTTGATTTCAGTCTATGGATTTCCGAATTACAAAGCCAAAATGGTTCGACAGCGTGTCTCGTCGCGATATTATAAGGCTGGTGCATTTTATCTTCCATCGCGTGAATCTCATGCTTGTCAGTCTTCATATTTCATTAAAAAATATTACATAGCTGCATATAATATCACTAGCTGTGCCTGCGACTTCGTTCGCGTGGAATAGTGACTTGTGGTAGAATTTTTAATTATTTAGGCTGTTTATTAATTTATATAAGGGCGCATTTAGGGCAGCCAATCTATGTAAGTGCTACTTTGCCCCCCCCCCACTCCCACTCTCACTCCTATTCCCAACAAGCCAAAGAAGAAAGTTTCATTGTTCTATCTTCAAAAACCACGAATTTCCATACAAACTTTCACCCCCCCCCCTTTTAACCCCTACAACCCCCTTTTCGCAGTAATAATGCATTTATGCGTAGCCTATGTTCTTTCTCAGGGTCTAAATCTTCTGTGTACCAAATTTCATTCAAATCCGTTTAGTAGTTTTGGCGTGAAAGAGTAACAGACAGACAGACAGAGTTACTTTCTCATTTATAATATTAGTAAGGATAATACTTGTTTTAGCCAAAGTCTCAATTGTCTAGCTTTGACAATGAACAAGATAATTGCTTAGTATTCAATCTATTTTAAGTAACTTGCGAACCATTAAATACAAACGGATCGGATGACACCCTATTAGTATCTGTCAGAGTTGAAGAAAATTAGGTTATATTAAATTGCGCGGCATTAATCGATGGTATGAATGTTTCAAGGGAAAAGCCTTACCTCGTTATACTTATACTAGGTGTTTGTACAGTCTATAGAAGTACGTTACGCATTCGTTGTCTACCTAAAAGCTCAGTGATAAACATTTAGCTCTGTGCCTTGAATTTCAAACAAACAAATTGTTAAAATTAGAGATGGGCGTACTCGGGGGGTTTTCGATATTCGCACTCGGTTGAATGATTCGGTTATACTTTATTATTTGAGAACGAGTATATTTTGCTTAAGAAAAGCATTTTATTTAGGTAGGTATAAGTAAAACAACAGTGTTAATCCAAAATTATTTTTTATTTAAAATTAAGAGTATGTTAATGATGACACAAAATTACAAAAAGATGAGAGTCAGCCGATAGCTTGAACCTGTTTGTACTCGTTTAACACGTACAAACAGGTACGAGCAAAATGGGAATTTGATTGGACCGAGTTACTCGGCCGAGTACTCGGTTAAATAAAAGCTGAGCCGAGTAAAGCTCGATACTCGTTACTCAGCAAACGTGTCGGCGCATCTCTAGTTAAAATGTAATAAATTATAATAGTGCTTCAGTTCAAAAACGACGACACAAACGGCGTTTAAACCCGATGTGGGTTTCGCGTCACACGGTAACGTTTTTTCGGAAATGCACAGACATGATCATGACAGATCATGTCTTGACGATGGCATGTGATGTCAGGCGGAATTCCGATATTCGTACCACCCATTTAATATCCAGAATTTCAGACGAAGTCAACCTTATTTCAGAAAAAATATAAATGAAACAACCCACGACTCGTTGATTATCAGCCATACATTGTAAGATCAACAAGCCCTGTCTATAGTTTACGCGAGTAGTACACATTTAAATAAAACACTTTAACAATTTAAAACGCGATACAATTAGACAAACATAAATACTGTCTTTAGTTTACGCGAGTAGTACACATTTAAATAAAACACTTTAACGGTTTAAAACGCGATATAATTAGTTAAACATAAATACTGTCTATAGTTTACGCGGGTAGTACACATTTAAATAAAACACTTTAACAATTTAAAACGCGATATAATTAGTTAAACATAAATACTGTCTATAGTTTACGCGAGTAGTACACATTTAAATAAAACACTTTAACAATTTAAAACGCGATACAATTAGACAAACATAAATACTGTCTTTAGTTTACACGAGTAGTACACATTTAAATAAAACACTTTAACGGTTTAAAACGCGATATAATTAGTTAAACATAATACTGTCTATAGTTTACGGGGTAGTACACATTTGAATAAAACACTTTAACAATTTAAAACGCGATATAATTAGTTAAACATAAATACTGTCTATAGTTTACGCGGGTAGTACACATTTAAATAAAACACTTTAACGGTTTAAAACGCGATATAATTAGTTAAACATAAATACTGTCTATAGTTTACGCGGGTAGTACACATTTAAATAAAACACTTTAACAATTTAAAACGCGATATAATTAGTTAAACATAAATACTGTCTTTAGTTTACGCGAGTAGTACACATTTAAATAAAACACTTTAACGGTTTAAAACGCGATATAATTAGTTAAACATAAATACTGTCTATAGTTTACGCGGGTAGTACACATTTAAATAAAACACTTTAACAATTTAAAACGCGATATAATTAGTTAAACATAAATACTGTCTATAGTTTACGCGGGTAGTACACATTTAAATAAAACACTTTAACGGTTTAAAACGCGATATAATTAGTTAAACATAAATACTGTCTATAGTTTACGCGGGTAGTACACATTTAAATAAAACACTTTAACGGTTTAAAACGCTATATAATTAGTTAAACATAAATACTGTCTATAGTTTACGCGAGTAGTACACATTTAAATAAAACACTTTAACGGTTTAAAACGCGATATAATTAGTTAAACATAAATACTGTCTATAGTTTACGCGAGTAGTACACATTTAAATAAAACACTTTAACGGTTTAAAACGCGATATATTAGTTAAACTTATTGAAAATGATTTTTTACTTGTCTACCGTCCTGTCTCCCCGTGACCACGGCTGCTGCAAAGCATCCGAAACGTCGGGCCGAACTTTAAAATCATTTTCAATAAGTTTAACTAATATATTGCGTTTTAAACCGTTAAAATGTTTTCGATTTAAATAGTTCAACATATTTAAACCGCGACTGCTGAAACGTCGGGCGTGGTAAAAATAATTTTAACTAATATATTTTTACCTTGTTTTAATTTATACGATTTAGATAACAACGTTCTTTGAGAAAATCTTAAATATTATTTACGTTTTTATCGGGCAAGTAGGAAATAGCTTATATTATATACGCGCACGACGAACATCGATGGTATAAAAATTTAACAGGTATCTATTATTATCAGTTCACTATAACCAGTTAATTGAATATGCGTGCACGGTGCTGTTGACAGAGACTGCTTCGTATTGTGGGGTGCCGATGGCTTTTCCCGCACTCGTGTCTTGCCAATCGACGCAGCCTAACGCCCGGAACGCCACGCTGAAACTTTCCGAGTTTTCCGGCCGCGCGGGTGTCCTAACGCCATAATTAAGTTAAACCTTTAATCACTCATCTAAATCTAGTGTCGTGTGAAAGTGATTGTGTAGTGGTGTGCGTGCTCTGAAAATTTTAGTTGGACATTCGCAAGGTTGAAAAATAACTTAATAAGCTATGTCAACATGCCTGGGGACTCGCTTGCTAATCGTTTCGCAAACAAGCTGTAGCACAGCCGTCGTGCTGTTTGCTTCTTGTGTGCCGTTCTTGTTAGCACAGTGAATTGAGAAGGCCTTAGCTGATAAGAAGAGATCTTATCTGCCGGCAACGCACTCTGGACTGACCGAAAATGGATACGAGGTATTTTATTGAATGACCTTATCGAAGTATCAACTATTATTTGTACTGTTTTATTCATACAGATTTAAATGATGTTTTATATAAAAAATCATCCACCTCCGTTAGCATATATGAACAAGCCGTCTAGTTTTATGTTAACAAAGCAGACTGGATTTCGAAATATCCATAGTTAATATACAAGGCAATATTATAAAATACATTTTTAAATTGTATAGTGCCTTCATGTGCAATAACATATAAAAAATAATAAAGTTTTCAAATAATTTTTTTATATCAAAAATTCCTTCAGAACATAAATCAAGACGGAGTCTTAGTAGTGTTTACAAAAGAAAATTACCTATTTGTACAACTTTACGTCTTTACCGTCTATGTTGTCTTTAAATATAATTAATGTTTATTTTTATACTGTTTCGAACATTTAATATATTAAAGTAATAGCAATCAATGAAAATATCCGGAAAAGTTGTAAACTTTATTTAATTAGTACTGTACATACATTGTTTAATTACTAACAGAAGTTAATCATTTTATCACTTGTATCTAGATCATTGTTTATCAAATTCACAACTGTTTGTTAGACATAGTTTAAGATCAATGACACTATCGTAGTCGGCCATATATTTTAATCATAGGATATACTAGCTGTGTTAGCGACTTTGTTTGTAAGTCTCTGAAAAGTTATTTTGTGCATCAAAATTTGTTTTTGTAAACCTTTTCTTCATAATTATAAATATAGATGTTAGCCCCGACGTCAATCCCGTCCCGTCGTTTTTGAAAGTTGATTTTAAAAAAGAGAATCATTCTTTTGTACATATTATTTATTTGGTATCTTTAACCGTTTTCGGGAAACCCACAAAGATAAATTCCCCGTTCCTTCCACATTCCCCGCTGTGTCTTCACATCTATTATTCAAAGCGCTAAATTGTTTAATAGCCTGAAGCCTTCCTAGATAAATGCACACAAAAATAGTTTTTCCATTTGAACCAGTAGCTCCAGAGATTAGGGCGAAGCAAACAAACAAACTCTTCAGCTTTATATATTGGTATAGATGAAATATCCGATCTCCAGAATAATAATAAATCGATTTCAGAAACCCGACGGGAATTGAACCTAAGAAGACCCTTTGATCATTAGCTATTCATTGCTTTTTGCTATGACTCGTAAATATTTTGATTCTAATACGCCAAAAGAATGATTTATAATATAATATGAAATACCTAAATTCGTCGTATAATGACCGAACTAATAGTCGGTTATAAATGAGTCACTAAAAAGGTTTTATACGAAGCGAATAAAGGCTTTTAACGTCATTTGCCTATCAAATTGTTCGTACATGATGACAGCGTTATGAAAATTTAACAGATAGACAAAGGTAAACAGTCGTTTGATTTTTATTTACACTCTTGTCATGTGAATGTGATTAAATACAGAATTTGTTCCATATGTACACTGTATTGATTTCGACATGTGATAGCGTTCAACCTTCTGCTAATAACTATGGACAGCTCGCGGTGTTACGTCTTTTTTATCCCGTTAGAAAGATAATTTTATTGTTTATCTACTTGGGCATAACACAGATAAAAATATCAGTCATTTTCAAACATATTTTTCCGGTACACTCAACCGTTTTTGCAGACTACGCAACGCAATCCATCGAAGATGTTTAATTTTTCCACATATCGTATTATAACTTCGCTCCTGATGTTTTATAGCCTAAAGACGTCCTAAATAAATAATACAACCAACACAAAAATAATAATAAACTCAAACCAATAGTTTCTGAGGTTGGCGCGTTCAAACAAACAAACTCTTCAGCTTTATAATATAAGTATAGATTGTGTAACCTTCCCTTAATACATTTTTTACTTCTTCTTCTTGGAATAATATTTTTCAGCTAACAATAGCTAGCTTAAATCTTTCTTTAATTTATGAGATCAAATTTCACTGACAAATAATGACATTATTAAACTCAGCCAACCGATTAAGAAGTTTAGATAAGAAATCGAAATGAGATACTGGCAGTTAACGTTTTTTCTTTATCTACTGTTATTCCTAATTTAAATTCGCTCTAAATGAGAAACAAAGAAACGAATAAAAGCAGCATGTATTTTCACGAATAATTTATAAATTGTAGCAATTTGTTACATATGGAAATTAGGTACAAAGCTCCTGTCGATCTGATTACTGTTATCAATTTTGTACTAAAATAAATGTTACTAACATTCATTATACGAGAGAGAAGCTTTTTAATAGATTATAAGTACATGATAGAAGCTATTAAACTATCTATCAATATGTCTGATAACGGTAGCATTAGTGATCATGAGTATACGTTCGATGTAGGTAAGGTTCAAGTTTTATACCCATAAATTAGACGGATTCTATCGGTTTAAAATGCGAAATATATTTGCCATTATAATTTAACTATGCTCGGGATGGTTTTTCACGTGAAACCGGGGAAATACTCTATTAACTAGCTATTTGAACAATACAGAAACAAACTAGAGAAAGGAAAGTTTACTCCACGATGTACTTTTTACTCAGTGTTTTAACTACTTTGTAGTTTTCCGGTTTTTACTACTGACCACTGACCTACCTTAACACTTGTTTGTTCATCTATTTTATGCAAACTTTTTACGAGAACGACATTTAGTTAAGCAAATCAATAAAAAGCAAGTTTTTAAAGCAAAAGTGTGCATCTTTAAAAAAAGACACAATACATTTTTAAGATAATCATTTGTGGTTTGTCATTCTTATAAGAAAGCTTAAAATATTTTTAAAATAGGCTGTCAAAGAGACAAGCGAGTTGTTTTTATACTGTGTGTTTTGAGAAGTGTTTTAGGATAATCAAATAAATTATTCGGCCATGAATGATTTTTTTAATAAAGCCTTAGTTTTTTTAATAATTTGTATCGATGAATAAATAACTGTATTAAAAAATAAATACTTGTAAGTTTGCATAAAAACTACTGTTCGACGTTATAAAAAAGATCTAAAACTCTTATCTTGTTGATGTCGTTTGCTAAGTTTGAAAACAGCGTAGTTGTCCGTAGTATTCCCTTTTTCCCTAGCCACGAAGCAAACTCATTTCTGGACATCTTTTGTATTCCTCAAATAATGACGAGTATGCAGCTGACCTTATATCAAATATTCGCTGAGGAATTTTCCATTACTTTTTTGCTTTTTTAACTTAACAAGCAAAGTGACAAAACACTGTTAAAATGTTCGGATTAATTAGCATATTATTAAAAACGTTGTTTACAGTTTAAAATCTTCCTATGTTTTACGCGAGTCCTAAATATAAACACACGCGAATTCGCATACATAAATCAATCACAACATATGATTTGTGAATATTATAAACCCATAGTGTTTGTTTATACGCGCTTATCTCAGGAACTACTGATTCAAATTAGAAAATTATTTTTGTGGTGAATAGACAATTTATCCAAGAAGATTTCAGGCTATATAACTTTACACTTGCGACCAATAGAAGTGAAGAAAATGTGGAATAAACGGGGAACCTTATTCAACTTTGAGGGTTTCCGTTACGTGCGCTGCGAAAATGGTTCTAGATACCCAAAAATATGTGTGAAAGAATTATTTTTAAATTATCTTAATGGAGATTTAACCCAAACTTATATCTAAGAACTAGCTGTGCCAGCGACTTCGTCCGCGTAGAATTTTGGGAATCAGTCTAATTGTTTTTACAAATCTTCTCCTCATCTTTACCTACTACAATAAAGTTTTGAATATGAAAAACAGGTGTATTATCATATAAATAATAAGTCTAACTTTAGTGAAGAAAATCCAATAGGTAAATATCGCGTGTTTCATGTTGTTACCAAAGTTCGCCTCAAAAACCACTGCGTCGAAATTGTTGCCAGCAATTAAATTATCGATAGCTCTACGGCCACTTAGAGTATCGGTAAAACCAATAATAAATTCTGACGTACACCTTCGTTGCTGTCTATTTGTAATTTGAGAACACGTGTTTAATTTTCAACAGTTTTAAAGCGAACTTTCCTAGGATTCCTTTAATGTTATGACGTGCTTGTAATTTAGCGTTTACTCGTCTGTTTAGTGATAATAGAGGATGAATAAAACACAGTTAACGGTTTAAAACGCGAAATAAATATTAACTATCTTATTTACAATGAATTTTATTTAACTACATGCTTTACTACTACAAGGAGAGTCCCGCCGTGACCATGACTACTACAAAGCATCCGAAACGTTGGGTAATATATAAAAATAATAGATTATAATAAAACCGTTTTAAACCGACAATATTGCCTCATTTAAATGTGTACTACTCGCGTAAACTACAGACACTGAGGAAGACCGTTGAGAATGAAACGGGCCTCAAAAAAGGACTACTTTTTGTGTCACTATACAAATAATCCAGTAGTAAGATGGCAATGCGACCATGTCTATAGATCAATGCTTTAATGTATCGCCCTGTATTTCATTAAGATGAGAGTCCTGGTTTTGAATCCCGGGAAATCAATAAATTGTCTTGGTCAGGCAGAGCTGTGAACTCTGATAACCTAACCTCTGAATAAAATCGATCCGTGAAACTGTGATCGCCTACAAATGAAAGCAGTATTTCCCTTTAGTTTCCGTTCTTCCGCCTACTTGTATGTCAAACTTTTAGGAAAATGGTTATTTGTTTATTGCTTGAACGACCTGTATGAAATTTACACAAATCTTATCTTTAAACCCTGGTTTACTTGAAATCTTTATTACAACATGAAGTTTTACGTTCGCACCTTAGAACATGGTTTAAGAGTTAAACCAATACTCCACAGTCCAGGTTTAAGTTTTTTTGTTGTAATAAGGCCGCATAGGTTTTAGATCAAATGCAGAAAATGCAAAACTAGTTTGTTAAGTCTGTGTAAATAATTAATCTATGTATTTACATTATGATCAGCAACACAATTAGGAGTCTGCGCCGTTATCAGTAATTTCAAAGCAGATATCGTGTTAATATCAAACAG